TATTAAATATGAAAATTTATATACAATCAAAACAATTGTTGAAGTAATTATAATTCTGGTTTGGACATATGCTGATTGTAATGTTTTTTATTTATTTAAATTCAACGTTGAAATGGTTTTCCTTCGGTGGTCTATTCTAGTGGCTAATATCCGTTATTTTGTGGTGAAAACAGTGTAAATGTCTACATAACATAAGTTGCATTGGCCAGTTATAGTCGTTGAAAGAACAACGTAACACTGTCAAATGTTTTCGTTGTCACCCTGGTGACGATCACGGACGGATCCAGGAATTTCATTTAGGGGGTGTGCTTCATGTCAATATCGATATCCTTTATACTATAGTTCTATTATGGAAAACTCTATTCTATTTAGACTTTTAGGATTTTAAGGAGTGTGTACGCGCACTCCTTGGATCAATGCCACTGTCGTTGTTCTATGAAGCGAAAGAACGAATCTTTCGATGGTGCCGAAGTGTCTGCCCGTAAACTGGAAAGAGAAAAACACCAAGCCTAGATGAAAAGTCAAGTCCAGTTTATTAAGTCGTAGTCGGATGAAAGGTCTATTTCCGAGTGGCAAAGTCGTATTCGGGTGATAAGTCATTTACGGATGGGAATATCATATTCGGTAGAAAGTCGATATTTGTGTAAGAAAATCTCGGCAGATAAAAGATTTCTTTTTTCCAGTAGAAGAAAACCATTTCCACCAAGGCTTTTCGCGCTTGACGGATTTATTCAGGATTACTTTAGACTCCTTTTCATCGAGTCTTATTTTACGTGACCGTCTGTCTATCCACCGTCCATTCCGGAACTTAGGGGTATCGACTTCTAGGTAATCTATGAGAGACGAGGTGCTTTCGTTCGGAGATATCACAATTATCCATTTGTTATCGGATGTATGCGAATTGTATTATCCGCTCTCCTCCGCATTTTTCGGAAGAATCCATATTACTCGAAGCGAAATGGAAGAGCAGGACGACACGATGCGTGCTCCTCTGATTTAGAATCATCCGAGGTGTACCACTTCCTTAATTCTTTGAAATTATCCATTCTGCAAAGAAAAAGCAACAAGTATTGTGAAAATAGAACTTGCATTAATTAAAAAGATATTCGTATTACCTTAATTTAATCTGAATTATAAGTAAGAGGCCGTCCATAAATTACGTAAGGGCGATTTCGGCCATTCTAGATCCCATCCCCCTGTGTAAGAAACCGTAATATTTTCTTTGATCCCCCCTTCCCTATCTTGCGTAATATTTTGGCGTGATTTTATAGAAAAATTTTAACGAAAAAATTTTTTCTATGAAACCCTAAAAACCTTAGGTCCAAACTATATAATTATTAATTAGTTAATTAATATATACTATTATTTATAAAAGACTTTATGTGAACAAATTTAAAAATATAAAAATTTAATGAATTCGAATGAACAATTTATTTTAAGAACTTTATTTTTTAATTATTAACAATATTATTATCATTATCAACGTAATAATATTTATTTTTGTATTAATTTTAATTTTCGCAAAAGACACAAAAAACTTTGCCAGATCGACTAACTAGTGCAAGTGTAAACAGAAATGTCATCTATATATATAACCCATTCAACATGTATCCGTCCTTCCTTCCGTCCGTCCCGTAACCGTTTGATAACGGACACTAGAGGCACCCCTATCGTGTGTCATATTTAAAACATTCAAATTAAATTAACAATTTTAATTATTATTTAAATGAACAATATAAATTATTATTAGTCATTTGGCCAATAAATTATTATTTGGTCAATATAACAATATAAATAATTCATTATATTTGTAATAGGAATTTATTATTGTCACGGAATGCCTGTAATGTTCACTAGGGTACGAATAACGAAAAACCGGATAGATTTGAACCGCTACGATAAAACGATAGGGTTTGAAATAGTTAAGCTAATTTTTTAATATAATAATAGAAACCTTTCATGGCACGACCAAAGAAACAGTTGTATACATTTATATATATTAAGTACATCAAACTTAATTTTAATATCAAACTTAAATTAAGTTTGATATTAAGTACATCAAACTTAAAAATTAAGCACACAACTTTCATATATTAAGTGCATTAAACATGCCTTATAGGAATTTGTAATACTGCTAAAACGCCCACTAGGGGGCGTCCCGGGCTACTAGTATAAAATAAAACAAGAGAGAATAGAGAGAAACTAGTGGGCGAGTGGTCTCCGTTGCCGCTCATCGTAGTGGTGACCAGACCCTAAAGACTGGGAGGTTCGTCGTGGGTTCGCGCCACGGTCGGACAGGCTGGCTGCTTGGAGTTTTCCGGGTTTTCTCCTTGCCTATAACGACTGAATAGCAGGCCAGTTCCCCATAAAAGTCCTCCCGGAAGGCATTTATTTCCCGCGCGTACGTATGGCTGTTCGATAGGAGGCCAGTTCCCCATAAAAGTCCTCCCGGAAGGCATTTATTTCCCGCGCGTACGTATGGCTGTTCGATACAGCCGGCTAATCGGTCGCCTAGCGATCATACACACACACAAGTCTACTCGGAGAAAGAGCCTACATTGAGCTAAAATCTCCATATAAACACCATCGAAGAAGAAAAGGAGTAGAGAGAAACTACATTCCGTTGCCATATTAATTACATCTTGGCTAAGGCCAAGAAAATAAACTACATGCTACTAAAATGTGCTAGGTGCACCTGGGGACTAAATAATAAAGCTTATAAAACTCTATAATGGGGCAATACAACCAATGCTACTTTATGCGGCCTCTGGATGTGGTCATGTAACTAGTAAAAATTCAGTAGTAAGTAAATTACTCTCTCTCCAAAGCCAGTTTGAGAATTTCGAAGTGCTGCAGAAGTGTTTTTACTAATGCCTCTCTGATACTAGCGGAGCTTCTTCCTTTGCCACTATGTATTGTAGAAAAGGTTCTAAACTACTAAAGCAGTTGAGCAGTAAAACTGGTAGAATAACAAGACTTTATTTTCCTAGTGTGGAATGTAGGTTCTCATCACTACTTAGAGATTTAACGTTTGCTACTGCTCAACTACTTACTGAGCATGGTATTTTTAGAAGCTACCTGACGATGTATAACCGGGCAGAAACTGCTTCTTGCTTTTGTTCTACAGAAAACCTAGACACCGTCGACCACATGATCTATCATTGTCCAATTTACGATCAAGATAGACTTATTCTGAAATTAGAAATTTTTACGCTTGGTTTCAGGTGGCCATATCCACTCGATAAGCTTGTTCAGAAACCACTGTTTGATGCTTTTTACAATTATATTCAAAAAATATGGAAGAAAAGACTACTTATAATTTTTAATATCTAGTTTTATATTTTAGTTTTCATTAAAATCCGGATACTAATTTTATGTTTACTTTGTATCGTGTATTTTGGTTTATGTATTCTTAGTGTTATACACCCATAGGAGTGATGCACTTATTCTAATAAAAAGAAAACAAGAGAGAAACCACCGCACGGCCTTTCTCCCATGACAAAAAATGTGTAGAGCGTAAATCTGCTAGCGTTATTAATCTATCACGTCACAGAGACAACGAGCGTTCTTAATAGAAACCGCCAAATTGAAGCCAAATTCAAAACGTCGCCATTCAACGAGATCAAAAAATAAGAATATTACGTACGACGAGATCTATTACCCCCCTTCCCCTGAGTAAGAAATCTTGACCCCCACCCATCCCAAAATACTTTACGTAATTTATAGAAGGCCCCTAAGTGATATATAAATTTCTAATACAAAAATAATTTAATAATATGATAGATTGTAGAAAATGATCGTTTTAATTATAAAAAAATTTCAAAGTCAGAAATGAATTTTATAATAAAATCTCTAATTATTATTTATAATAATTTTAATTTTCTTGTAACTAATATCAATAAAGTCTAAATTCAGCCAAATTGTCTCTATCATAATTTTAATCTATTCAACAATTTTTAATGTTCGATAGAGAAATTAATTTATAAATAATTATACTATTCTGTCGATTGCCATAAAACAAAAAAGTCTGCAAAAATAGAGAGAACGAGATAACAAATGAACTGGAATTTTTCTAATTAATTAAAGTTTAGATTAATTATAGCGATGCGAATTTCACATCAGATATAGCTTTAATGTATATAAATGCAATGTATAAACTATAGCAAGAAATAATATTTAATATATTTATTGATTTTCATTTCTTTTTAATGATACAAATCTTTAACAATTCGATTGGATTTGGGCTTAACGAAAATTATCAATAAAAAGAGTAAATCGGTTTTTTCCCAAATAAATAAAAAGATCCAATTCGTCTATCTGAAAAATCGCACTACGACCGATCAACTGTTTTTGAAAATCATTGCTGCTAATTGTGATATTTTGCTTAAAAATCTTTCAATCTAGGAAGATTGTACTTTAAACTTTCCTATACAATCGCTGCAAATAAAGCAAAACTCAAAAAATTATTAGAAATAAATAAATTTCAATCTCACGAGTCGAAAATAAAACCGCTCTCAACAAGAAGACAAATTGTCAGAATTTTACTTAGTATTGCGACTCAATTTAAAGTTAAAATTTTGTATTTTTGGCTGAATTTATTGATTTTCGTGCCAATCTCTCTGTCTAAAGAGTCGGATCATTCCAGATTTTGTGTCTAGCCTTTTAGTCATCCTCACAGATACGAGCTATAATCAATTTACACAGAGTTAAGATATGTTCGAACACTATCGTAAAATAAGGAGATAATATCATAAAAGATAGAAATGTTTGGATGTTTTATTTTAACAAAAATCTTTTCCTTGATGAAAACTGTAATGTAATGTAATTGAAAGCACTTGCTTATACAGTATAAACTTACTACTTGGAATAATTTATGGTGGTTACATCGTTGATTCACACCGAATAAATAATTAACTTATCTGAAATTATAATGTTTATTTATTTCTAGTTAAAGGAATAAAATGATTAACTTTTGCTCAAAATTTATTGTTACTTTTCAGGTTTATATTGTCCCATGATCTGGGATGGTGCTTATTGTTGGCCACATGTTCCTGCTGGAACTCTGCATTCTGTAGCTTGTCCCGACTACATTCATGGTTTCAATACACGAGGTAGGAAATTGCTTTCTTTGCAGTGACAATATGAATTCTCATTAAATTAAAATAAATGACTCAAATTGAACGAAGTTTTAATATCGCATGTAAAACTTTAAAAATTGCAATTGATTAAAATATTCATTTCAGCCCAGGCGACAAAACTCTGCATGTTAAATGGAGAATGGTGGATAAATGATAAAACCAATCAGAGTTGGACAAATTATTCTCTTTGCACAAAATACGAATTAGATACTTTTGATAATCTGAATAGTTATCATACATACTTACTAAAGGTAAAAAAATTTATATTAATAAATAATTTATTTATGAAAGTATTAATATGATGAAAAATAATTATTAAATGTATTAAAAGCAATATCTAGAACAATTTCACATATTACCAAAAACAACATAAATTTCATTTATTGATTTTTAATGCGAGATATAACTTATATTCATTCATTAAAAATTTTTCATACAGATGTATAAATAGATTTTTTTATTTCATAATAAAAAAGTCAAGACAATTTAATACGTATTGAATATTTTATGAAGTTTGTGATTAAAATAATACATTGTTATTAAATTACAATAAGCGAAACGTAAAGAATATTATAAAACATTTAATGATATGTATTTTTTATCTATTGTATTAATGTTTTATTATAAATGTGAAAGTTTACATATACATATTATATATTATATAAATTATTATTAAAAATTATTTAAATTTTAATCTTATTTAAATTTTATTTAAATAAGATCTTTATAAGTTATTTTTTAATATTTTTTTTATCTTTCTTTTATGTGTGTCAACAGAGTTTAAAATGTTTTTAATGAAACAATAGGTTTTAAGTTAGAGAAAAGCCATTCTAGAAACTATTTAGTACAAATTTAAAGTCTTGGAAAGATATTAGAAGAACCATAAATTCTATGAATCCAATATATCCAACCAATTTATATTAATTGAATTCACTTGTCGAATGTTTCATAAACAATTCTGTTTTAAAGGGAAGGCAATGACTACAGAAACTTCCTCGAGATAGAAATCTAAGTAATAAGATAACTTTTTTCGCCATTATGTTGAAAAGTATCATCTCATTCTCTCGTTTATAACTTTCCTTTCGAAATGTTTGGATCATTAAGGGAAAGCATTCAGATACTTTATATTATAACAGTAGCCCATTATTTATCAATAGGCTATTATTTTATTCGATTTAAAAGATATTTAATGAAAATAGAATCTACTTCACTGATATAAATCGAGAATCTCAATCTGTTGAATAATAAAAAATTATGGCAGCATTTTAAAGAGAAAAACATATTCTTTAAATCAGGTGAAGGTATCGTAAAAATAACTTTATTATTATCACATATAAATTTTATGTTTAATTTGTACAAATGACTGATATTAAATAAAATTAACAACTGACTGCAATTACCATAATTAAGAATATTTAGTGTAATTTTGGCCAAAAAACATTTTTTGTCATTAAGTAAAATTAAATGTTCTTATATTCTATATTACTATTATAATATACCGTAGTAATATACTATAATAATATATACTCTTCTAAAACAATAAATGTTTAAAATAATTTTATATGTAAACTCTAATGAAAATATATGAAAATTATATATATCAAATAAATTTAAATAACTTTTTTCCTTTGTTTCAGATTATGTTAAAATTTTGTTATATAATTTTAATTATAAGTTTGCATTAATACCATATAAACTACATAACTTTTCCAACGTGTATAATAAAACCTTTAAAAGTATACAATATGACCTCTTTGGTTTATAAGATAAATAATTTGTACTGACAAATTTCACAGAAAATTGTTATTTATCAGTATCAGCAGAAGCTCTTAAAAAATAATAATAAATAATGGTCAAAATAAGTTACAAACATCATGTAATGAAGAATTATTTTTATTGATTTTTTATTTACTCACATATCCTATCGTAAATCCTCAGATAAGATATACCGATTTAGTATTAATGTATTCATATAATTTGTTTTATTCCACAGTGTTATAGGGGGACTACTGTATATCATTAGAAAGCTCTTTTTTCAGAGATTATTAAATTCAATTCAATTTATTAACATGCAAAGTTTTTACAATCACAAATAAAGAACTTTTAAATATTATTAATTGCTTAGATTCGTTCTTGTTTGTGTCATTTTGAATTTTTGTATGTCTTTTGAAAGATTGATGAAAAATAGGCAAATCATATATGTGTTTCCGTTTTTATTCGAAAAAAACATAGTATTAAAATAATCAAGAAAACTTCCGAAGAAATTTGCATCGTAGAATGACAGGAGGAGTTAGCCAAAGAAACGCCTATTTTTGGTTCAACTGTTTCAATAACGTAGACAATAGCCCCGGAAATTATATTCAGCCTGGAAAACCTGTAACAATAGATTCCTTATCGTCAAACAAATCCGATCATAAGCATCTGCATATTGTCGAACGTGCTCGGTACTTCAGAATCCACCGTGAATGAGAAACTGATCAAACTCGGCAAGTGAAATAAGGACTACCGAATAGTATCTCAACAACTGACACCGGCACAAATAACGAAACAGACGTGACGCTGCAATCTCCGGAATAAAATGTTCTATAACTGTTGTATAAGGGTAAAGTATCATCTACAATCCTCATATGCAGTGTTTGAACCGCATGTCAGGATTGTACGCTTCAAAAACATCTGCACTACAGATTGAGCACAAGTTTATGTTATGTATATCAAAGCCGTAACTAGTCATTCCTGTGCCCTGTGCAAGAATTTGCATTTAGGCCCGTTAATTTATTTGGTTTTGGGAAAATAATAAAACAAATACATTACAATAGATTTTTAATAAGATTTGTTTTAATTGAATTTTTCTGGCTTTCATTTCAGCAAATTCATTAATTACACCATCATAATTAATATTTTTAAAGATATTGTATTCTATTGAAATAATAGAAATATTGGATAATCGTTCTTGTCCGATAGTTGATCTTAAATAATTTTTTATTAAGTTTAACTTGCTAAAACTTCTCTCGCACGAAGCAATAGAAACGGGAAGAGTTAGAAATATTCGAAGAGCGANTTCAAATATACTTTTTGACCAGTATTTAAAGAAAATTTTGTATACTTTTATTATGAAATTTAAAATCCAGTCTACAGTTTGAACGATTGTCCGGATAATTTCTTTTATGAAATATAAAATATTGAAAAATATCCGGATACAGGTATAATGATGCGAGTACTCCGGAGCCGTCAAAAATTAGATTATGCAAATTTAGGGTAAGGCCCTGCTACCAGGTGTGTTTTGTCGGACACACCTCCGAGAAAAGAAACAGAGAGTTAAGGCGTTAGGGTAAGAATCACTCCGAAGTCCAGAAATGATCTTCTCAGGAGGGTGAATGCAAAGTCAAGTACAAATAAAAAAGAACGTTTATTATAAAAAACGAGTTATAAAATCCGTTTTAGGAAGTTGGCTTACTTCTATCTATAAAACGGTGGGGTACCTAGCGGGGAATATCCGAACTGTGCAACTCACAACAAACCAGGAAGAGTTGTCTTCTCTTCTCGCTTCACTTTTTTCTCTTTGTTCTTTTCACCTTTTCGTCTTCTTTCTCCTTTACTCAGTCCTTCATTCGGTCTTTCACTAGGACCATCGCTCAGTTGCTTTCTTTGTCTTTCACTGGGTTGCTCCGTCCTCTAAGTCCGACTTCCTACCAGTGTTCAGTGATTTGTAGAACTTAGTGATTTGGCCAAGTGGATAAAATCACTAAACAATGGTAGTTGGTGGTACCCGGAAAACTCCACGTAGCCTGCCCGTTGGCCACGTGGAGTTTTCCACTTTTTCTTCTTGTCTGTAACTCCTAAATAGAGGCCAATTCCACATAGAAAGTCCTCCCGCAACTACAAAATTGAAATTATTGCAATGTGTATAATATTGAGGAATATTGGAAGAAAGAATTAATGAATAATGTGAAATATGAAATCATGACATATAGTAGATGGAGAATTGAAGTTTCCTGTTAATGACTGAATAATTACATTTTTAAATTAATACAGTATAAGAAATTCAGTAAGAAGACGGAAAGTTCTATAAGATGGTAGCAGATCCAAAGATATTCTAACAATTTAAAGTAAATTATTAGTCACAGAATACCAGTTTGATAACGGAAGAATTGGAATTTGTTTTGCGAAGATTTGCACTTCTGTAAAATCGGAATATAAAACTGAATTTCGTTAGGTGCTGATTTTATTGATGAAACTTAGTAATTGTTTCACAAAATAGATTATTCAGTCCGATTCCTTGTATTTAGCGTAATTTAGAACAGCAAAGATATCAAACTCATTAGATTTGAAAGTTACAATACATTAGATGGGTCTCGCGAATCAGTCGACAATATCTTCTTAATGGATTTAAAGTTTTATAGTAAAAAGTTTTTGACACACTTATTAAGCTAATACATCGATTAAGGCCGATTAAGGGCCTAACTTATATATGTTACCGGCCAAACCCGATTTCAGGCCAAACTAGTTTATCCTACGCATGTCAGGATATACTAGTTTAGCCTAGGATAATCTAGTTTGGCTTAAATACTTAACTTAATAAAAGCTTAACTAGTTTGACCCAGGCCGAACTGATTTATGTACTACAAATAGGCGCCAGTGTAAAAAAATGATTTTGTGTAATTCGAAATGCCACCACAATGGTGGCATTTTGTTTTAAAACCACAGTTTAACCCGGTGGTTAAAGTGTACCTAGGTAACCCCAATGGCGGTGCTTCGGTTAGGTTGGTTTGATTAGATTAACTACATTTTTAGTAGACGTTTCCTTTTTTTTTTTATTTTTTTNGCTACCTCACTACGTCCCTCTAAAAGTCGCCACAGTTGGGAACACTGGTGAGCAGACGTCTAGGGTCTAAGTAAGGCGAAATGTAATCGCCAAACCGCGCTGTAGAAAGGCGGTAAAATTTAAAATTTAAAAATATAATTTCTTGTGAACAGCAGTTTGGACCCCCTTCCAAGTAGGCCCTGTGCGGGTGCACCTGTTGCACCTGCCTACTTACGGCTCTGATGTATATAAAGGAATTTTGTTATTGTTTGTATAGGGCAACTCGACGCATGGGCGATCTGCGAGGGCCGATGTCTTCCTACCAGTGTTCAGTGATTTGTAGAACTCCAGTGGCCAAGTGGATAAAATCACTAAACAATGGTAGTTGGTGGTACCCGGAAAACTCCACGTAGCCTGCCCGTTGGCCACGTGGAGTTTTCCACTTTTTCTTCTTGTCTGTAACTCCTAAATAGAGGCCAATTCCACATAGAAAGTCCTCCCGCAACTACAAAATTGAAATTATTGCAATGTGTATAATATTGAGGAATATTGGAAGAAAGAATTAATGAATA